GTGAGTGTGTGTGTGAGTGAGTGAGTGTGTGTGTGAGTGAGTGAGTGAGTGTGTGTGTGAATGGATGTATATTTTGTTTGTTTGGACAGAAGTATATATGTGCACATGTATATCTTTTACTGTTTTTTTGGTGTAGTATTGTTGAATATGTTTTGAAAATTAATTTTTATATTTCTCAGGTATTTCTGTATTTGTTTTTTCTTGCAATTTTATCCTTCAATGTACTTTCTGCTATAACTCAATCTCAGTATTGCTAAGCAGAAAAGTAAATAAACTTCAAAGTTCCAACACACTGGGTTTATTAGAACTGTTACAGAAATCTGTTTCATTTATGTTTGCCTGACAAATATGCATTGCATTTAAAATTTATTAGCGTATGTTCAAACTGTAATCCAAACGCATGGAGATTTCTGTGCAGCTCTCAAATGTAGGCCTGAATGTGTGTCTGAGTGATGAAGATGAGCTGCTCGTGATGAAGATGCGGCTCACCATGGCTTCCAGGTCGCTCACGCTGGGCGGCACGAAGATGGACTGCACCATGAACTTGTGCTTGCTCTTCTCGTTAGGGTCGTAATCAAACGGCTGCAGCATGACTGGAGGAGAGCAGAGAGAGCGTCAGGGTCACACTATGTTTGTTCCGGTTTTATTACTGGCTGTTTACTTGTCTTTAACACTTTATTATTTGAAATTAACACTAGTCTAGTTGTTTTGCTGTGGTATTTTTGTTAAAAACAAGTTCCTCTTGTAGGCCTAAGTGTTCTGATTTTTGCTCATGTTATTCAGCTGCAACAGAACGCTTTGTAAAAATTAATTTGACTTCATTGGATTGTTTATCTGATATCTTTATCGATAGGAATGGATCAAATTGAACCGCTACCCAACGCTACGATGCACAGCAGCGGGTCTCACCGGAGATGGTGACGGTGGCGCCGGGATCGATGACGCCGCTGTTGGGCCGCACGCAGTAGCGCCGAGGAGCTGTGGTCTTCACTTTGAAGCATACTCTTCTGTCAGACGGGTTCCTCAGCTTCAGGTTAGTGGTCACCACATCTGTGAAGGGTCCTGCACACATCAGAACCATCATGATCAGCTCAATATTACTGGTGTAACGAAGCGTCGTCCGAGCGCCGCACATCAGCAGACATGTCATTCATAAATAATGCAGAAACACACAGGCCCTCATAACCAGTCTGTTTTGACCCGGAAGAGATGCATAAACATCTCTAACAAAATACATAGCTTTTAGCAAGGAAACAAAACTCAGCCAATGCTTTAAGACCCTCAAGACACTTTTTTTTCACAATTATTTTTAAGAGATATAACCATTAAATGTTCCATGTTTATGAATTCAAAGGCATTTTATTAAGCTCCATTCATTCAAATGAGGTTAATACTAGGGATGCACCGATCTTTGATTATGTTAAAGCCATCTGCATATCAGAAATAGCATGAAAAAGGCCGATACCGATGTTTATTAATTAATTGCATGGAGACAACGAGTTGCATGTCTGTTGCACAATCCAACGTTTATTAATACTGATAATTCTCAGATTACACGTTCTTATAAATTTCATAAATTATATATTCAAACAAAATTTCACATCAATATAGAGAAAAAAAATATATATATATTTTTTTTTTCCCTAAAGAATTTTGTGGGGTTCATGTGTAATTCAACATTTCAAACCATTTCTCAATTTTTAAAATTAATTAAAGAAGGAGTAAATGCAGATAATACTGATTATTCTCAGATTATGTTTTAATAAATGTCATACCATCATATAATCAAATAAAATTTCTAATCAATATATATATATATATATAAGAATTTTCAAAAAAGTACTCAATTTTTTAAATGAATAAAAAATGCGGTAATAACATTTTAAATTAATTTATAATAAGTTCCTGATCAGATACAACATGGTTTAAGTTGGGGAAAAATCATTAAGTTATGACACTTTCAAAAAATAACAATTCTTTTGATCCAAACGGACCGGAATGCGAAAACACTGTCCAGACTCTGAATGCATTCATTTACTAGAGCAGTGTATTAAACCGAGCTGTGCTAAACAAACCCTTCATACACTGAGAAAGAGCTGATTAATGCTGTATTGATCATGCAGTGCTCAAGTGACGATTGCTGAACAAATGTTAGTCAGTCAACAACGCGTTTCGCCTTAAAACAGCTCAGTATCGATCACTTAACTGATTCATTCAGCATCTCGATCTTTCATTAATCTGTTGCTATGTCTTTAGCTCTGATGCTAACACTGACAGCTGACCGACACCGAGTACACTAACGAGTCAACTTCACCCTAAACGCGTTTAGCAGAACGAGCTGGTATAAAACAACACTTATGTGCGCTTTCCCCCACAGGCCTGCGCATCCTCGGGCCTCGCGTCAAACGCCAGCCGGGGGAGGGGTGCAGGCATGCGGGCGGCCGCGCAGCCTGAGCCCGAGGCCTCCGCGAGCCGGCTCCGCTAAAGCGGCCGGGGGTTCGTGACTGAGCCGCGGTTACCTCTGAAGCGGAGGTCGCCCGGCGGGTCGAGGATCAGAATCTGCTCCAGTTTGGACATGACAGCCGTTAAAACGGGACACAGTCGCGCGCGCACTCACGATCACACGGCCGCGCAGCGCGGGCACGAGCAGCAGGGCGGCTGCGCGCACGGCGGGACACGTCGCTCAGATGAAGGAACGGCTGGAGTGTGTGTTTATTTCCAGAGCTCTTCTCTTATTTCTGTTTAGGTCTGTTTCATTGAAAGCTCGCCTCGCCTCGTCAGAATCGCTGTGAGCGGGAAAGCCGCAGTGCGCATGCGCAGTGACCGATGACCCTCGCGCTTAAACGTCATCACGCTACGCAAACACGCACAGAAGGCTCTCTTTGCGATAAATGCAGTAATACATATATTATAAATGTGTTAAAGAAGAATTATGTCAGTAGTTATGCATGTACATGCACTTGTTTTTTTTTCTCTGTATACCCTTTTTAAATGTTTTCTATTACTGTTGTGAGATGTGTATGTTTGAATTAATATGTACATAATTGCATAATAATAAAAAAAATGTTCTCTTAGCTTTTTAAGGATGAACTGTTTGGCTTCCTTAATATATAAAAAGATCAAATTAATTCATATTTTATTATTAACCTATAATGTCATATTCACCGCAGTAAATTCACTCATCAAAAACCTTTATTTATCGTTTTTAAAAGAGTTTCAACAGTATAGCCAAACAATTTCATCTTGTGT